AATTTTAAATGTGCCCACAGGTCAAAAAAATTACCCATTCTTAGTGGTAGCCACATCTTACTAGATAGATCTTAAACATCTATAATAATTTTTCTTAGCTTTGCTGACCTCAGTTTCAAAATCTACTAAAAAGTCTGACTGCTTGTAGCATATAAAAAGAGATATGTAGTTCAATGAAGGAAGGCTTTAATGTTATTTTTTAAACATCAAATGAAACTTTCTATAACCAGACCATTCTTTCTCTCCCTCCCTCTCTTTTAAATTCATTTAACTGTATTACTAGTAGTTGGGTTTGTTTGAATTCAATAACATTTGCTGCTGTTTGTAAGCTGTCTTGAAAGAAGTTATTTTGAAGAGAGGGAAATAAATTGTGTAATTAATAAAATGACTTGTTTGCTTTAACCAAATAATTTACTGCTCAATAAATTCACTAAAGCTTTAATTGTTTTTCCTCCTGTGAAACACTGTTTTTTTTTTTCAGCTGCATATCTGGAAATATTTAATGCTGAAGCATTTAGCCAGAGCTGTCTGCTTCCAAGGGGGACACTGTTTAAAAGGGGCAATGTGGACCATCCTTGGTTTTTGGCCTCTTTTCTATTAAGTTTTCAAATGCAGTATTTTTTTCTGTGTTGTGGATGGTGTTAGGGAAAGCATATGAGAAAAATGTGCATTGATGAAAGTAAAGTCATATACCATGATGCAAATAGTTTCTTCAGGATTGTAGACTTCTGTAGCCTCAGAATGAAAAATGACTTATTTATATGACTACTTATTAATGTTACATCATGATTTCTGTGTAGATGAATGAAACAAAAATAGATCAATGTTAGTCTTTAATTTTAACATATTTGCATTAAATATTTTGTAGTGCTTGTTAGCAATTGGAGACTTTGATGTGTTTCTGTTCAAAAAGTTAAAAGCAGATGGAAACTTAAACAGTGGCTAAGAGTAGGAGCTAGGAGCCAGGGTTTGAGGCGTCTTTGATTTCTGAATAGGGACAGATTGGTTATATGGATATTTCTTTTTTTCCTCCTCAGATTTTATCTTCAGATAGGTAAGGGAAATTGTGAAAAAGTAATAGCTCGAAGTTGTCCACTGAATGAGGATTTGTGCCTGGCTCTCTGTTCATACTATTGAAACCAATGTAGCTTATTGTCCATTTATTGGTATGTTCATACTGCTGAAACCAGTGTAGCTTATTGTCCATTTATTGGTCGATGAGGAAAACAAAACAGTTTTGTGAAAGAGAAAAGAATAAAAAGGATTTGGACTCTGGAAAATGGGCAAGTTTTAAATTGTAATTGTACCTTTATCTACTTTTAACAACTACATGCACTAAGTAGAAAGCTTAATTTCTTCATAGTGCTTCTCTAACTTCTGTATCCTCTAAATTTGTTGACTACACTTTCCCAAAGAATCTTTTTCATGAGCAACTGGACTTCCTTGTTTTTCTTCGAAGATGTTTGGCTTCTCTTCCAAGAAGTTTCTTCAACTCTGACTGGATGATGGGAAATGGAAGGATTTATACTCCTTGCCGATAGCTGGTTATTTGCATTCTTTTAGAGCAGATCGCGCCCACCCTATTGCCAGCAATGGGAAAAAGTGATACATCGCGAGTTTGATATGCTTGTTTTAGAGGGTCCTTGGGGGCCGCCTGGAGGTTTATCTGAGGTTTATCTGTGTGGTCAGGGTCACTTTAGTAGTGCAAATGGATGTGGAGCCTTCTTGGAACTGTTGAAAGGACTGTGTTGTAGATTGGAGATAGTGGAGATAGATGATGTCGTATGCCTCCCCCTCTGTTGAGAGAGGGCTGTTCAATTTTGACCTAGATGGCCTCTTTGACCCCTCTTTCAAATCAGCGGTCCTCTCTGCCCAGAATGTGGATTTTTCTGTCTTCGAAAGAGTGGCCTTTGTCTTTTAAATGCAGATGGACTGCTGAATCTTGTCCTGGTGGGTTTGTTCTCCTAAGTTGTGAAATGGGTTTATGAAGTAGTTGTTTTGTTTTCCTCATGTACAGATCTGCACTTTCCATGTTGTCCAGTCAGCACCCTGTATTTGGTTGTGGGATGATGGCAATTGACAATAAAAGATCCACAACTAATCAAATAAAATATTTTTAATTGCATGTATTTTGTTTTGTCTTTCAAACAAATAGAAAATTCATTGAAATCATGCTTTCACAGAGAGGGAGAGGGAGAGAAGTGATTATGGGAAAACTGAAAAAAAAATGGTGCGTTGCATTTGATAAATATAAAGTGATGGAATAGAACATGGTTGTGCTGAAAACTAGAGATAAATTTTCTAGGGAACCAAATATTAAACAGTAATGCAACCAAAAAGGATCATTAAAAATTTCTTAAATTACTTAATCCCAGTAGATGCTCTGAATTTATTTTAAGGGTATGTGATTGGATAGCTGTTTTTTAAATGTACTTGTTTAGGTTACAAGGTAACTTAGAATATAATTGCAGCAAGTATTTATGAGCTTTACTGATGTGGAAACAAAGAAAATTGAATTTTTGTTAAAATATTTTACTTGCTTTGGATTAATCATCAGAGCTTTGAGTTATCATTTTTACGCTGGATTGAAAAAAATTAGTAGATAAGAATAAAAATTGGGAATATAAGGTTTCTCCTGGTCTTAAATATAGTATAATATTTATGGCAGTGTCCTAATGGGAACAAGTAACACATACCATGATAGTGGCTTCCATTATTTATCATGAGATGCTGAGGAATCTCCCTTATAAGCAGACAAAGTTGCAAACCACAATTCATGCTCCTTCAGACAGTACAAGAAATAAACCATAGAAGAACTTTTGGAGAATGTTTAGCTACTCTTCCTGCTAGAAGTTAAATAGAAGTGATTGAAAGTGCACCAGCATGTTTGCTCTTTCAAAGTAAGCCAACATTCTTTGAAATGTTGGCCTACTGTGAATCATGAGCCAGACCTATAGGTAATCTCTCTCCCTTCCCCCCTGCCAAATTTAAATATACACAATAAGAAACATTTGAGTATATATCATGCTTTTATGGGCAAGAATATCCTAGTTTAAAATTGTGAGAAAACAGAATAAATACCAAATATTTATCCCAATCCAATAAGCAGATTTGTGCCAAAAATTGCATATGAGAACAAAAGTTGTTTTCCTCATCTTGAATGTGGTTGAGCTGGTTGGCTGTTTTGTTTGATCCTAAGGAGTTACATTTGATTCTTTTGTTCACAACTATAGTTGGCTTGGGCCTACTGTTTCTACATGCTCTTTTAGAAAGAGAAATAGGAACAGAGAATGCAATTTTGTCTTACTTGTCTCTAGTAAAGAGCAGCAAGTGTAATGCCCTTATATAAATCTGGGATACAAAACTATTTTTAGAATACTGCATACAGACTTGTCTCCCATTTAAACAATAGAACTGAAAAAGATGTTGAGATGGCAGAAGAGGGTTGAACTTTTTACCAAGAAAAGGCTTATTAATTAATGGGACAATTAGAGAAAATGGTAGAGCATAAGTAGGCAGTTGAGTGCTTTGCACATGGTTTGATTACAATTTTCTCAGATCTTGCCACTGCCTAGCTGACTAGGACTAATGAAAGTTATTATTCAACATATTGGGAAGGACATTATTTTGCCATTGCCTGTGATTAAACAGTTGAAATTTAGACCAATACATCTTCAATCATCTCTGGCATTATACATCTTTCTTAGCATTCTGAGATTGTTATGAAGTCTTAAGGGGCAGTATCTCATCTGCTTGCTCAGTTGTGATTTAAGTTGGGAAAATACTGTTCAGTTCATAATTTTTAATATCTTCAAAATACGTTAATTCATGTAATTAGAAAATATTTTTTAATTTTATTTGGGGAAAGTAATGATTTATATTTAGAGTCAAATGAAATGCAGGTGGAAATTCCTTTTTGTGAATCCTAAGAATTAAGATTCTTGACCTTTAGCAGTGGAATAGGGAAGGCCTCTTTTCCTAAACACAAAAGAAGTTCTTTTTCTAAACAAATGATTGCTCTTTATGATAGAGACTTATTCATGATCATGACAATTGAGGGAATTTAGATGAGTTCAGTTTTGATTCACTGGTGGAAAATATCTTTCTGAACTGATTTTGTATTTAGTTTGGCTTTCTGCCACCCCTGGTAAGAGCAGTGCTGGCTTCTGCGTTTTGCCGGTGGAACATAGAATACATGATGCATACTAGCTTTCCTGGGTTCTTCCAGAAAAACCTTTATTGAAAATTCTGGGATTTGAAGCACAAGAGGCTGTGATTGGGGAATGCTTGAACATTTAATAAAGAAATATATTTCACTTATTAGCTTGATATTTTTCCAATCATCAGGGAATAATTGAAGATGATATATATAACACTGCCACTAGTTCTTCCTTCCTCGCAGTAACTATCCTGTGATTAAGATAGGGCTTAGAGCTAATGATCTCTCGGAGTCATCTGGCACGTTTTCATAGTTGGGCTTACGCTTGAATCCTGTTTCTCTGTCCTTTGTCCAGAATCTTCACCATTATACCACAGTGGCTCTCATATGCAGCTTTGTTTTCTATTATATTCAGAACCCGTTTTTCATATTGTACATTTTTCAGTTGTTTGGCAAAACACACTTTTCCCTCAGCATTTCACATTTCTTAGCAACAAAGTTAAAAGCCACATTCTCTTGTTAGAGAAAGCTTTCTTATCTACATGTCCAATATTTGTTGTTTATCACTTGTTTCGCGATTTCATCTTCATTCTTGCTTCTTATCCTTTGGTTATTTCACCATTTTGTCATTTCAGAGGATGCTCACATTTGTGTTCATGGTCCACTTTATACCTTCCCATTGGATATTATACTGACTAATTTGGCTAGGAAATTATCCGTTATGTCTGATGAATAGGTGTATACAGGCTCTCTGTATCTGATAAAAATGCAGATACAAATAACTTGTTACTTCTAGTTTGCCAATTTTACATTTCTAAATTATATCTGCTTTTTTTTTAAGGCTGCCCTTCGGCGAGGCAGAAAAACACTGCAGAGCTGGCCTCTGCAAGGGGAGAGGCTGGACTTCCCAACTCTCTGTGCTGAATGGCTACTATGGCGCCCGCTCTCACTGACGCAGCAACTGAAGCTCACCACATCCGGTTCAAACTGGCTCCCTCATCCTCTTCCCTGTCTCCTGGCAGTGCCGAGAAAAACGGCAACGCCAACAACATCCTTGTTGCCAGTAACGTCACCAAAAGGAAAGCTGAGGATTCCAGTCTAGATTTCCGAAATAATTCTACAAAAGAAGAGCTGGGAAAGCTGCAGCCATTGGTAGCATCTTATCTCTGTTCAGATGTAACATCTGTTCCTCCAAAGGAGTCTTTGAAACTGCAAGGGGTCTTCAACAAGCAGACAGTCCTTAAATCTCATTCTCTGTTGACTCATCCTTTCTTGAAAACTAGTGATCTGTTGGGAAGGCCACCAGTGTTGGAGATTTCCTTGGAAAATCTAAAAACCATGAGTACAAGTAATCAGACACCTTTGCCACAAACACCTGTCAATGGTTTGGCTAAAAAATTAGCTAAAACTAATAGCTCTGACCATGAAAGTTCTGTTTCACTTAATGGTGGTAAGAGTGCACCTTCTTCTGCGACTCTCCAGGAAGTTGATTCAAATAGATCTGGAAGTTGTGATTTGGAGGACCTGAAGTCTGGTTTGAGCAATTGCACTCTACCACATAAAAGCCCAGATGCAGAGCATGCTACCCCACTTAGCAATAATGGCATGACAAATAAACATGACCACAGTTCCCCAGAGCAGCAGTGTGGACTCGAAGGGGATGGGGAGAACAGGTTGCTTTTGTTATCTGGAATGCCTGTTTGTTCTGAGCTTGGAAGCAGCAAGCCAGAGGAACAGAAGATCACTCTGCCGAACAGTTCCTTTAGCACTCTAGATTCAGATATGAGGACAAAGGTGCTACTGCGGAGGCAGGCAGACATTGAGAATCGTGCTCGCAGGCTGCAAAAGCGGCTGCAGGTGGTACAGGCCAAGCAGGTAGAGCGGCACATTCAGCAACAGCTTGGTGGATTTTTACAGAAAACGCTAAGCAAGTTACCTGCTTTGGACTCCTTGAGACACCGGAGTCAGCTAATGCTGACCCGCAAGGCAGAAGCAGCTCTAAGAAAAACTGCAAATGAGACAAGTACCTCGGAAGGACTGAGCAACTTCCTAAAAAGTGACTCTATCTCAGAAGAACTAGAAAGGTTTACTGCCAGTGGAATGGCTAATCTGCGCTCTTGTGAGCAAACATTTGATTCTGATGTCACAGACAGTAGCTCAGGTGGAGAGTCTGATATTGAAGAAGAGGAACTGGCCAAAGCAGATCCAGAACAGCACCATGTACCCCTGTGAGTAACATCAAGTGTTAATTGCTTTACAGTTTTTAATATTTTGTTTTTCAGATAAGTTTTGTCTCATATCAGTATTGTTTAATGTACAGTTAAAATCAGGAGCCAGCAAGCTGCAGTAACACAAATTAGTTTTAGAAGAGGAAAGTTGGTTTGCTTTTAAGATGTGTTCAATGTAATTTATATAAAATAGGTTTCTGCACTTGATAGGCTATTGATTGGTGAATGGTAGTATCATACTTAAATTAAGTTATGCTTGTTGAAGAGAATAACTTGTTTTAAGTATTAATGTGGCTGAGAATAGCCGAACATCTTTATTGCTTTTTAACAAAAAGAATCCAACCCATACTTCTATTCTATAATGGGTCTATGGGTAATAGAAAAGAATTACCTACAAATAAATGATTTAAGACAATGCAGAAATTGTTGCACTGAAGTTGTTCATGTTTCTCTCTAAATCTAAGCTTCTGTGAGTATGTAACAGTAATGGATGATATGATGCTGTACAAGTGTTCTGATTTCCAGATTGCAGTAATGCCAGTTAGCATGAGAAGATAATTTGAAGATACTGTTTTACATTGGTTGGATGAGGAGTGGGCAGGAGATTATCAAGTTGTGATTCCTGATATATAATATTTTATATCTATCTATCTACCTACCTACCTACCTACCTACCAACCAACCAACCAACCAACCAACCAACATTTGAGGTGATAAATTGACACCATTGTTTAGCATGTTAAATATCACGTTGTGAGTCCTGATATATAACATTTTATATATAAAGAAGAAAAATTTGAAAGGCAGGACTAAAAACAACACAAATGGTACAGTCTGACGAATGAATGAATGAATGAAATTTCCTCTTTATTGAATAAGTTCAGTTTGGGATCCACTCCCCAGTAATGAATCTGTAAATAGATGGCCATCTGGTACTTATCCCAGAGTAATGGCTTCAAAGATGTCTGATAAGAAGCATTATTGTAACCCTTCAGTCACAGGGTAGTAAATATCAAAGCTCTGGATCAGCCGAAGTGAGTACCATAATACATTGGGATGTGAATGAGCTGTACTAGAACTGCAGATTGATTAGAAAAAGCTGTACTCTGTTTTTATGTTTGTCTTGTAACAACTTAATTGGAGGAGTGGCTAGTGGTTAATGGAAAGTTACAGGGACTTTGAGAACTAATCTGCCCTTAGGTGTGTATTTATTTTATGTACTGAAAAAATATCTAGATTGGCTTCTGTGATTTAAGAGAGATGGCAAAAAAATAAAATCTTAAACAGTTCCATTAGGAATGAGCAGTATCAGCCCTGTGGGATTCTTTGTTTTCTTTTTAAAAATTTGTTGTAGCTCCATAATTCACCAGTTGAAGCTACAAAATACGGCAGCTTAGATATTGAGGTAATCATGCAGTGCTGGTCAGAAAGAATCCTCTGAAGCCACAAGCTATGGCTTTTAGGAAAAACTCTACACATGCATAGATAGGGGTCTACAAGTCCTCACTGTTACAAAAGAATATCATAGTCACATGATGTGATGGTATTATAAGTCAGCTTAATATAATTTAAACACAGTGTTAGGCTGAAAATTTTGGTTGACATAAATATCTGCACATGGGCATGTTTTTATATATATATATATATATATATATATATATATATATATATATATATATATATATATATATAAAATCATATTAGATTCAGGAAATATAAACTTAGTAAAGAATGAATAATATTTGTTTTGCTGTGATCTTTATTATAGAAAGCTTAGTGTGGGAATAAGCTTCTTCATAATGCAGACAGGTTTTGGCTGAGGCAGGTAGGAAAAAGAATAAACAGTTGATTATGTCGAAATTTGAATGGGCCTAAACAAATGCAGTGGTTGCGTCAAATCTCTTATGTTACATTGATGATTATATCCATGCAGAAACACAAAGAAAATGTAGAATCTAGTTTTCAAACTTAACGTTAAGTTCATGCCATCTATAGAATTGCAGTCTGCTTATTGTATTTAAATGAGATGCAACTTGATTGTTCATATGTGCACACCCTGTCATTTTCAGTATTTGGTATAATATGATTTTCTCTGAGCCATGTATAACTCTTGAAAAAAGGGATTTATGTGGGAATAGTTCAACTGCCCTCAGAATCAGTTTCCTGTCTAACCTGGAGACCAGTGCTTCGTTCTGTTAATAAGTAAACATTTTGACAACCAAATTAATAATAGACTGTAATTTTACTGTACTTTCTTTTTTATTCTTTGAGCTAAAAAAATTAAATTTGTTTCATTTGTTTGTGACCCTGTATTTTTAGTTTGCTCAATTAATGGGCCTCTCCCTTTGCTTGTTTTCATTGAAAACAAAGGCCAGATTTATTCACTTCAGATCATAGTTCGCTTTAAACACAGCATTAAAATACAGTGATTGCTTAAAAAAAAAAGCATGTCTCTTACCAAGAAATATCTTTTCATTTTTCAGCCACTATTTTGATTTTGTGTTACTTATTTTGACTTGTACCTGCCTGATTCCAGTTAGATGTCTTTAAAATAAACACATACCAGTATTCAGGTTTGCTTATTTCAGAACTGTAACTTTGGAGAGAAATTTTACCCATTTTAAATTTGGGAACATGTTGTAGTTGCTCTAATAGCATTTGCTGCTTTGGAGAGTATGGCATTCCCTTACCAAAAGGCAAACTGATGAAGTTGTTTTCTGCCATCCATTTTAGTTCATCAAGATATTTCTCTTTTCCTGTGTAAATGAGTACATTCCAGACAAAGTACTTGGCTGAAACCACCTAAAATTTCTATTTCCTAAGAATGCATATGGAGTCCATGTGGGATTCAGAAGGATTCTTAATAAATTTGATGCTTGAGCTTGTGCTTTGCTATGCATTTTAATTTAATTTAATTTAATTTTAATTTTGTGTGTGTGTGTGTGTGTGTATGTGTGTGTGTGTTAGCAAAACCAAAAGGAAAGTTGAACACCAGGATAGAAGTATAAGCAAGGCTGTTTAATATAAAGAAGACTGTTTGTTATAAAGTCACTTAGCTTTCGTCGGCCAAACTGCCGACATTGTCAAAGTGAAAAGAAAAGGAGATCCAGGAGTTCGCTTATGTAGCCAATTGCTTTTGCGCCCTGTTTCTTGAGTGCGTCACCGGCCCATTCATTTCAATCGGCCGTAATGCATTAAGTCTAAGTCGTCCCACTCCTATCAACCTGTTCGAGGATTCAAAAATTGTTCTCCTTGCAATCGCTCCCTTGGCGCGCGTAGAGGCGCCCGGGGATGGCTATCTGATCCCTTTTGCTCTTCGCCTCCCCCTTCGCTTTGAGCCGATCTTGGGCGTCAGTCCCCAAATTGCAATCTGGGTGCACTGCTGTCTTCCCTGGAAGTCACCGCCATCTCACTTGTAGCCCTATCACTCTGATCCTGCAAGGGGCGGCTGTCCGATTGCTTCTTCTCTTTGTCTTCCTCCCCTATCGCTTTGAGATGATCTTGCACATAAGTTTCCAAATTGCAATTTGGGCGCGCTGCCGGTTCGCCGTCTTCCCTGGAAGTCGCCGCCGCCTCACCTGTAGCCCCCTTGCTCCGATCCTGCAAGGGGTGGACTGGTTGTCTCCTTTGCTGCCCCTCCCACCGTCTAAGTGTCTGGTAGGCTGGTAAGAGGTCCATGTGACGATTGATTGAATTCTCAGATAACCAGGACTTCTTAAGCAAGCGGCCACTCTTGGTGGTCTCTCGGGATATGGCCTCCGCGTTGGCAAGATCAAACACATGGCCATGGCTGAAATGAATAGGCTGATTGAAATGAGTGGGCCGGGATGCGCTCAAGAAGCAAGGCGCAAAACAATTGGCTACATAAGTCAATTGTTTGTTTATATTAAGCAGCTTTGCTTATACTTCTATCCTGGTGTTCGACTTTTTGGTTTTGCTAACATGCTCATACCCAGGATTCACATTTTTAATGTTATCAAAGACACACACACATACACATACACACACATACATATATACACACAGAGATACATATATACATACATACATATATACATATAATTTCCCTTTTAATTTTCCTCTTTTTTTTCACTGAAATACATGGATCAAACTTGCATACTGATTATTTTTATTGGCATTTAGAACTCAGCATTAGTATCCAGTTATTGATTTTGTTTTCATCTGACTGATTTGATTGAAAACTATTTTATAAACAATTCATATATATAATTCCTAATTAGTTTGGTATTACTAACATTTTAAAAATAGTTCTTTTATTTATTATTTTATGTAGTCGCCCATCTCAAGAAGTGTCTCTGGATAGCAAACAATGTTAAAAAATGCAAACAGTAACAACTACAAAAGTTAAAACGCATAGTAGTAACTGAGAAAAATACAAAAATCATTAACGTTGCCAGGAGGTGGATCCCTTCACAAAGATCTAGGCCCTAGATCAGTGATGGCGAACCTTTTAGAGACCTAGTGCCCAAAACCCGCCCCCCACCCCTGTCCCCGCTCTGCTGTGCCCACTGGGCTACCCACCACCTCCACAGCCCACCACAGATCACCTAGGTAGCCCAGCAGCGCCATGGCGGCCACACCCTCTGCCTGTGCCCTGCAGCATCGTCTGCACGCGATGGGGCACAAGGACGGAGTCTTGTCCCTGCTGCCCGGCTACCATGTCCTTGGCTGTGCTGCTTCATGTGGGCCATGCCCGGGGGCAACTCTCCTCTGGGGGGCTGCTGGTGAGGAGGGGGCCATGGGAGGAGGCAGGGCTGGGGCTCCGATTGCTGCCTCTGGCATGCATGCCATAGGTTCGCCACCACTGCCCTAGATCTTTATGTCAGGACTTTTCAACCAGTGGTACAGGTACCACCTGTGGTACATTGGTACCTGGCAGGTGATACGTGACCATCCTGGAAAAGTAGCAGGGAAGGGGAATGAGCTGAACCAGTGGCAGCACAGCACAAGCCTGAGCGAGAGATGGCTGGAGCTGCAGG